TGGTATAAACACATCTATTTATAAACACTTTAATAAAATAAGTTGTTTTTCTAAGGCCTGTGTATACTTAAGCTTGCATCACTTAACCTCCGAGAGGAGCAAGTTCAACTGTCTTCCCACTAACTTTGATTCTCACAGGTGACAGGATGATGCTGACAAGACCTCCTCAGCCACCTGCTCTTCACAGTGGAGGGGATGCAGCTTCTGTGGCACAAGATCAGGTAGGGGGCAGATCAGTGGGGAGAGAGGGGGTGAGGGTAGCCAGGGTGCCTCTATCCCATCCTCACATGAATCTGAATGAATCTCTCTTCCGCTTTGCCTCTTTAAAATCTGTCCTCAGCAAAGGCTTTGAAGGCCACTCAGAGGAGGTTTAAATTCTGACAATAATGACCAGCCACCTCTTATTAACAAGCCCTTTGGATATAGCTAGAATTACTTCTTGGTGGTTGCAGCAGTATTATTTATGGATTGTAAAAACGCTTGATGCTAAAATAGGATTCCAAAGAGCTGACAAACAAAAAGTAGTCGTTTTTTAGTCGTGTCCGACTCTTTGTGACCCCATGGACCAGAGCACGCCAGGCAGTAGTTACGGAAAGATTAAAAATCAAAACACGCATCATGAAAACACACCGTGAAAATGTACCATTACAGTGGTACCTTGGGTTAAGAACTTAATTTGTTCCGGAGGTCTGTTCTTAACCTGAAACTGTTCTTAACCTGAGGTACCACTTTAGCTAGCGTCGCCACCGCACAATTTCTGTTCTCATCATGAAGCAAAGTTCTTAACCCGAGGTACTATTTCTATGTTAGCTGAGTCTGTAACCTGAAACGTCTGTAACCTGAAACGTCTGTAACCTGAAGCTTCTGTGACCCGATGTACCACTGTATAACATTAAAATAAACACCCATAATCAGAATGCACAGCAAGGCAATCCCATTAAAACAACCCAACGATGAGTAATGGATATTCCATACGCTATCTCTGGGGTGGAATTATTTCCTTTTTCTTTTAGAATCCAGCATCCTTTGAAGATGTGGCTGTGAATTTCACGGAGGAAGAGTGGGCCCTGCTGGATGCTGACCAGAGAGCTCTGCATAAGGAAGTCATGGAGGAGACCTGTGGCATCATGGATTCTCTTGGTGAGGCTCCACGCTGTATATTTATTTTGAAAACCATAATTTTATAAGTGATGAACCCACAATATTCTCATGTAGCTGATTAGCACCACCTAGATAACCTGGGATTCTATTAGTATATGTATAATTTTTATTTATGATTTTCAATTTTGTACATTTCAATAATTTTACAATGATCTTAACATTTCAACTTCCTTCCCCTTCTTACTGCTATTCCTTTCTCCGGTTCCTTTCTGCGGTTTTTTATCTTTTCTGCATATTCCGAATTACCGTATTTTTCGCCCTATAGGACGCACTTTTCCCCCTCCAAAAATGAAGGGGAAATGTGTGTGCGTCTTATGGGGCGAATGCAGGCTTTCGCTGAAGCCTGGAGAGCGAGGGGGTTCGGTGCGCACCAACCCCTCTCGCTCTCCAGGCTTCAGGAAGCTATCCGCTAGCCGTGGGAGACGCAGCTCTCCCACGGCTAGCGGAGAGCTTGCCGGCACCCAGAAGCTTGGGGCGCGCTGAGCTCAGCACGCCCCAAGCTTCAGGCTTCGCACAGCGCTCCGCTAGCCGTGGAAAAGCCATGCAAATTCGCGCAGCTCTCCCACGGCTAGCGGAGAGCTTGCTGGCACCCAGAAGCTTGGGGCGCGCTGAGCTCAGCACGCCCCAAGCTTTGGGCTTTGCGCAGCGCTCCGCTAGCTGTGGGAGAGCTGCGCAACTTTGCGCAGCTCTTTCACGGCTTGCGGATAGCAGCCTGTTCTGGGGTCGGGGGAAGCTCGGGCTTCCCCAGCCCCGCACCTGGGGGGGGAATAATCCCCCCCTTTATTTCCCCTCCAAAAAACTAGGTGCATCCTATGGGGCGAAAAATATGGTAACTTAAACATTTATTCATCTACTTTAAATGTATATTCTTATAAAACTGTAGGTTATTTCAGTAATGCTGCCAATGTTCTTATCCATTTACAGTTTGTTTGGAAATATTCAGTCAACCATTTCCTTTCTTTTGTAAAAAGTTTGTTATCTTGATTTCTTATTTTTCTGGTAAGTCTCACCGTTTCTGCGTATTCCATAAGTTTTTGAATCCATTCTGCTTTTGTCAGAACTTTTTCTTTCCATTTTTGGGCAAGCTGTGTATCAGCTTTTATGTCTATTTTCCAGAATGTGGAATAAAGCGGAAGAATATTAACTGGATGTGGGAGACCAAAGATTAAATCACCATTTGGCTACGAAGCTCCCTGAGTGACCTCAGCCCAGTCGCTGTATCTCAGCCCATGCTACCTCTCAGGATTGTTGCGTGAATAACATTGGCCAAGGAGACCCAGAATGCTGCCTCAAGCTCCTTGAAGGAAAAGTTGGACAGATGTAAATGAAATGCTAATGAACGATGATGATAATTAAAAGTCTTGTTTTCACTTGGTCTGTCACTTACTTTAAATTGGGGGGAGTGGGGTCTGTGTGGCCAGGTTTGAAATCATGAAAAACGCATCCTAAAAGTCAAAGAAAAATCACTCTGGGGGTCGATCAGGATACTGAGACCTACAAACATTGAACTTTACTTGTAGGTCATCAGCATATCCAGAGTGTGGTTGTGTGCTGGGGAGAGGCTTGCAGTTCACGCATCCGTACTACATATAAGCTCTGTAGACTGGTTCTCATCTGAACCATCCTCTGCACTACCCTACGTTTTGTAATTGTGATTTAAATTTGCCAAAGGGCTTTTATTCTATCTTCAACACCCTCAAGGTTCACAGATTCGTTGTGGCATAAGCTCTCTTTTTGGAGCCACAGTACATGTAGTAAACTTAATCAGATGCATTGTTCTTGATAACCTATGAAAGTTTATCCAATAATACATTTGCTAGCCTTTAAAATGTCACTGAATTCTATAGAGCACCAGAGAATTTTATAGAGCCAGTGCCATAGAATGAGCCTCTGGCATAGAAAAGGGACTTTTTACTTAGGTCTCCACAGCTTCATAATTTAAGTCCTCCAATCGCTCATGGACCCCCCCCCCAAAAAAAAAAAATATATGGTATGAGTAAAATTGTTTTGTGAACAAGAGAATCACTGCTCCTTACTTTGCTGATGATTCTAATTTTTTGGAGTGGTTTAAACAAAAAAAGATTTCTAAGACCTCGTTGGAGCAAAAAGTAAAACAAAATCTTAATTTCATATATACGCTCATAGAGTCAGACCAGAAGGAGACCCTGGGGTCACAGTAGATGAAGATGTTGATCCAGTGTGCGATGACTGATTCCAGAGCTGTCAAGCACAGTCCTCAAAACAACCACATTGAATTAAAAATAAAGTGTTTTGTAAGTTCATACAAGGACAGGGCATTGCTTCAAAGGGAGCATCAACATGGCTGCAATTTGCTGCTTCTAAAGAGGTTTCTGGCGGGTCACGGTTCTTGTGCGGAAATGGATAACCTGGCCTCTAAATGGATTCAATAACCCGTAGAAATTGTAAGGCCAAAACCCATTAACCTGATCGGTTATAGGCTAAGGTTACCAGATTATTTTCAATGAATACGGGGACACTTTTCAACTTCCAACTGAATAGATGGGTTTTGTCAGGGGACTGAAAATCTGGGGACTTCCTCCAGGAAACGGGGACGTCTGGTAACATTACCAGTCCTCTCAGTCAAGAAATCGGAAGCAGGGAACCGGAGGTGTCCCTCAGTCTGCGTACACACCCTACATATAGAATCAGAGAGCTGGAAGGAACCCTTGGGGATCATCTAGTCCAACCCCCTGCAATGCAGGAATCTGCAGATCTCCCATACGGGGACTGAACCTTGGTGTTACCAGAACCATGCTCTAACTGAGCTGTCATTTCTGCCAATACAAAAATCCTGGGAACTGTAGTTTGCCAAGCAACAATTCCCAGCACCCTTAACAAATGACAGTTTCCAAAATTCTTTCATGGGGATAAAATGTTATTTCAGTGTATCTGAAGTGCGCACAGCCCTGGATCAAACCTGTGCTCGGGTCATGATTCCACCTTGGCTTCTCCTTTGCGAGGCACACAAGAGAGATGATCCAGCTGCATGTCCTTGCTCTCCACCTTGAAATCTTCCCCGTCCTTAGCCACCTGATCTTTTAAAGTTTTTGGGTTTTTTATAAGATATTTATTAGGATTTTTTTCAAAGAAACACATATATTTACGAAATAAGAAAATTACAAACAAAATATTACAATGTTAAAGAAAAAGCATAGAAAATGTAGAAAAACTAAGAAAACATACAGATAGAAAGTACATACAAAAAACAAAGAAGACAAAATAGCTAAAAGAAAAAAGTTGAAAACAAATCCAATTTTCAAAACTTATATACTCATTTGCTTATTTTCTTGACTTCCTCACACCTCCCCTTTTGTATTCCCATTTATATAATCGATTCAGCAAATCCTTGCCTTCTTTCATTTATCTTAACTTTTGATCTTAACCTATTATAACAATATATTTTCATCCATTATCAATCCATATTTACATAATCTTATTACTCTTATTGCCAACACCGCTTATTTTCAATCCAGCATCATTTTAGCATTCATTAATTTTACAGTATTTCTGCAGATAGTCTTTACATTTCTTCCAATCTTCTTCCACCAGCTCTTCTCCCAGGTCTCGGATTCTGCCGGTCATTTCTGCCAGTTCCATGTAGTCTATCACCTTGGTCTGCCACTCTTCCAGTGTGGGTAATTCTTGTGTCTTCCCTGATCTTTTAAAGTTTAAAGGCCACACGGATTGAACTCTCTTGCATGCCAAGGCAGCGCTTTACCACTAAACAGCTCAGGCAGCTTGGGACTTCTAAGGGTTAAAGTGAGCTTATCTGGATTCCTAGAAAGGAAGGGAATTAGGAGGGCGGGGAGGAGGAGGAGGGTCTGGAGTCTTGCAGAGAAAGATCCTCTCCCCCCAAAGCCCCTGCCTGCCTGGATCTATCACTTTGAACAGGGTGGGAGGGAGCCCTCTATTTGTCTCAAGCACCCTTCTGAAACCTGGCGGTGAGTCGACCCCTCTCTAGTTTGTGCATTCGGGTTCAGGGGAGTCCCAGGGCTGCAGGGGGCAGGTTGCAGAGAGGGGTCTGTGCAGCCGATCCATCCACGGGACGCCCCCAAATTTGGGGGTGGAGGTTCGCCCTCTCTCTCCAAAGCCAGAGGACCCCTTTTGAAATAGAGAGTGGGGGCGTGTTAAAACTGATCTGCATGGAAGTATTTCTTCAATTGCACTTTGATTAGAATTTGCATACACACGCCAGCAATTAATCAGGCAGTGCTATCAAGCCTCCACTCATTTACCCATTCAGGCAGCCAACCCTTCAGAAGAGGTGGAGGGGGAAATCTTTTTTTGAGATCGACTAAGAAAGCATTGCTGATCAAAAGCAGCAGAGATCCAGCTGTTCGGAAGAGAAATGAAAATAGACACACAGAGTAGTCCCAAGACCCATCAGTGTGAAGGGCTGAGTCGGTGGGCAAGTATCAGCTTACTTCCTTCAGAAGGGTTGGAGTGCAAAGTCAGGCTTTTGAGACAGGTGAGAATGGAGTTTTTAAACCACATAGGATAGGCACCTGCTGCCCCCGAACTGTGCAAGCTGATCAGTATAAGAATTGGCGCCTGGGTTTGATTTCCCCTCCCTGTCACTTTTCCATTGTGTGTCATGGGTTGTTTTTCCCCAGATTGTAAACTTGCAGGCAGGGACTGTGTTGTTTTAATTCACTGCTTGTAAATCACTCCGGGAACCTTTTTAGCTGAAGAGTGGGGTAAAGGTAAAGGAACCCCTGACCATTAGGTCGTCATGACCGACTCTGGGGTTGCGGCACTCGCTTTATTTGCCAAGGGAGCCGGCGTACAGCTTCCAGGTCATGTGGCCAGCATGACTAAGCCACTTCTGGCGAACCAGAGCAGCGCACGTAAACACCGTGTACCTTCCCACCGGAGCGGTACCTATTTATCTACTTGCACTTTGATGTGCTTTCGAACTGCTAGGTTGGCAGGAGCAGGGACCGAGCAACGGGAGCTCACCCCGTCGTGGGGATTCAAACCGCCGACCTTCTGATCGGCAAGTCCTAGGCTCTGTGGTTTAACCCACAGTGCCACCCACGTCCCACCAAGAGTGGGGTTGCTGTTGTTGTTGTTTAGTCGTTTAGTCGTGTCCGACTCTTCGTGACCCCGTGGACCAGAGCACGCCAGGCACTTCTGTCTTCCACTGCCTCCTGCAGTTTGGTCAAACTCATGCTGGTAGCTTCAAGAACACTATCCAACCATCTCGTCCTCTGTTGTCCCCTTCTCCTTGTGCCCTCCATCCTTCCAAACATCAGGGTCTTTTCCAGGGAGTCTTCTCTTCTCATGAGGTGGCCAAAGTACTGGAGCCTCAGCTTCAGGATCTGTCCTTCCAGTGAGCACTCAGGGCTGATTTCCTTCAGAATGGAGAGGTTTGATCTTCTTGTAGTCCATGGGACTCTCAAGAGTCTCCTCCAGCACCATAATTCAAAAGCATCAATTCTTTGGCGATCAGCCTTCTTGATGGTCCAGCTCTCACTTCCATACATCATTACTGGGAAAACCATAGCTTTTACTATACGGACCTTTGTTGGCAAGGTGATGTCTCTGCTTTTTTTTTACAAATGCCTAAATAAATAAATACTTGGAGGTGCCAGGACTTGAACCTGGGACCTTGTGCATGCAAGGCCTTAGGGATGAGGAGAGCTGTGGCTGGCAACTTTCAGAAACAAGGGATGACAGTGTTAAAGAGAGGGAGGGTGCCCCAAGGGGAAGGAGTGGTAGGGAACAGACCAGTAGAACAGATACCACACCTTCTTACATTCAACCAGACTGCTGCTGCTATTATTATTATTTAGTTCTATTGCCTACCTTCACTAAAATGCCCCACGGTGGATTACAGCAGTACAGAATATATCTGGTTGCTAGCCAGACTCATCCACATTTTCCTTGTCCTGGCAGTGTAATAATTCCATAGCGTAACCATAATTCAACGGCTTGCCTTTTCAGGACTTGGTAGCACTTCTACTTAGGATTGTCTTTTTCTTGGAGACAGAAACTGGCACGAGACGAAGGGGTTCTTTTGATTCTGTTCAGTTCTTCCATGAAAGAAGTATCAAAGATGGATGAGGATTTAGGAAGTTGTCCCAGTATCATCCAGGCAGGGAGCAGCAGAGGATCCTGGGACAGAACCCGACTGAAGATCCCGGGTGAGGAGGACACCCTTAGCTCACATGTTGAGCACCAGCAGTTCAGGCATTTCCACTACCAAGAGGCCGAAGGACCCCGAGAGGTTTGCAGCAAACTCCACCATCTTTGCCACAAGTGGCTGATGCCAGAGCGACACACTAAGACTCAGATCCTGGACCTGGTGATCTTGGAGCAGTTCCTGGCTGTCCTTCCACTGGAGATGGAGAGCTGGGTGAGGGAGTGTGGAGCAGAGACCAGCTGTCAGGCGGTGGCCCTGGCCGAAGGTTACCTCCTCAGCCAGGCAGAGGACGAGAAGCAGAGAAGGCAGCAGGTGAGAGTGTTTATCCTGGTTACTTCCATATGATAGTCAACCCTTTTCAGGAAAGCATCCAAGGATATCCAGTAACCCTGAAGGTTTCTTCCTCTCTCATTCCTTCTTTTTATTCTTCTTCCCATTCTGTCTTTTGAATCTTTGTTGCTCTTTCAGGGAAAAGATCTGTTTGCAAAAATGGATGTTGATTTCTCCGAGTGGGAGAGGACTCCATCAGACACCAGACAGAGGCCACTGGGTAAGGGGTGATGGGATCTATGGTCCCCCTATTTCGAGTGTGAAATAAGTACGTGGGCTCCCTTAATCTTTGGGGTGAATGATGCTCTTCTCCAGCCTTTTTCCAGAGGTGAAAAATGGCTTTATTTACAGTGTTTTGCTATGTTATCCATGGACACCTGTACTTTGACTTGTGGTCAAAAGCTGATACAGTGGACGCTCGGGTTGTGAACGTGATCCGCAGCGTTCGCAACCCACGGCGCCGCATCTGTGCACGCGCTGGTTGCGATTTGGCGCTTCTGCATATAATAATAATAATAATAATAATAATAATAATAATAATAATAATAATAATAATAATTTATTATTTATACCCCGCCCATCTGGCTGAGTTTCCCCAGCCACTCTGGCGGCTCCCAATCAGTGTTAAAAACAGTACAGCGTTACATATTAAAAACTTCCCTGAACAGAGCTGCCTTAAGATGTCTTCTGAATGTCAGGTAATTATTTATCTCTTTGACATCTGATGGGAGGGTGTTCCACAGGGTGGGCACCACTACCGAGAAGGCCCTCTGTCTGGCTCCCTGTAGCCTCACTTCTCGCAATGAGGGAACCGCCAGAAGGCCCTCGGTACTGGATCTCAGTGTCCGGGCTGAACGATGGGGGTGGAGACGCTTCTTCAGGTATACAGGACCGAGGCCGTTTAGGGCTTTAAAGGTCAGCACCAACACTTTGAATCGTGCTCGGAAACGTACTGGGAGCCAATGCAGATCTCTCAGAACCGGTGTTATGTGGTCCCGGCGGCCACTCCCAGTCACCAGTCTAGCTGCCACATTCTGGATTAATTGCAGTTTCCGGGTCACCTTCAAAGGTAGCCCCACGTAGAGCGCATTGCAGTAGTCCAAGCGTGAGATAACTAGAGCATGCACCACTCTGGTGAGACAGTTCGCGGGCAGGTAGGGTCTTATCCTGCATACCAGGTGGAGCTGGTAGACAGCTGCCCTGGACACAGAGTTAACCTGCGCCTCCATGGACAGCTGTGAGTCCAAAATGACTCCCAGGCTGCGCACCTGGTCCTTCAGGGGCACCATTACCCCCATTCAAGACCAGGGAATCCCCCACACCAACCCGCTCCCTGTCCCCCAAAAACAGTACTTCTGTCTTGTCAGGATTCAACCTCAATCTGTTAGCCGCCATCCATCCTCCAACCGCCTCCAGGCACTCACACAGGACCTTCACCGCCTTCACTGGTTCTGATTTAAAGGAGAGGTAGGGCTGGGTGCACATGCGCAAAGTGTGATTTTAGCGCTTTTGCGCATGCACGAGTGCTGAAACCTGGAAGTAACCCGTTCCGGTACTTCCGGGTTCGGTTCAGCGCGGTGCGCAACCTGAAAACACGCAACCTGAAGCTTCTGTAACCCGAGGTATGACTGTACATTGAAAGAAGTGCTTTCACATAATTGAAATATTAAATAGGTTTAAACACATATATTCATAAACTCTTAACACATAAGCCTTTTTCTAAGGCCTGTTTGTAGTTCTTGATACTGACTTCCCACCAACTTTGTCTCTTGCAGGTGATAGTGTGATGCTGGCAAGAGCTCCTAAGCCATCTCCTCTTCACAGCGGAGGGGAAGCAACTTCTGTGGCACAAGATCAGGTAGTGGGGCAGATCAGTGTGGGGAGAGAGGCTGGGGGCAGCCAGGGCACCTCTGTCCCATCCTCACATTCCGGGGCCTGAATGAATCTCTCTTACCACTTTGCTGCTTTGAAATCTGTCCTTGGCAAAGTCTCCAGAGGGTGCTGAGTAGAAGCAGTTAATGTTTATGCTGTCTGTGAGGGGGTAAATGTTTTCTTTTTATTTTTAGGATTCAGTGTCCTTTGAAGATGTTGCCGTGTATTTCACAGACGAGGAGTGGGCGCTGTTGGATCCTGATCAGAGAGCTTTGCATAACGAAGTCATGGAGGAGAATTGTGGGAACATGGCCTCTCTCAGTAAGGCTCCCAATTGAATCATAATATCAACTTTGAAAATAGTTACCGTATTTTTCGCCCCATAGGGCGCACCTAGTTTTTTTGGGGGGAAATCAAGGGGGGGGAATTATCCCCCCCCCCGCAGCCATCCCCAAGCTAGAAGAGGGAGACGGAGCGCTCCGTCTCCCTCTTCTGCCTTCAGGGACAGCCTCCCTAGCCTCCATGGGGCAGCGGCTGGCCCCATTGTCCCCGAGCTTGTGGGGCTGGTGGAGCTTGCTTCTCCCCACCGCCAGCCTCCAAATCAGGTCGGGGAATAGCGGGATGGCGGCGCTCCGCCTTCCCGCTGTCCCCGAGCTTGTGGGGCTGCCCGATATCTGCCCGAAGCCCAGGGTGCGCTCCGGAGCATGCCCCGTGCTTCGGGCTGCAGGCTGCCGCCCGCAAGCCTTGCAAGCCCGGTGGGAACTCCTGCCGGGCTCGCACGGCTTGCGGATAGCTTCCTGAAGCCTGGAGAGCGAGAGGGGTCGGTGCGCACCGACCCCTCTCGCTCTCCAGGCTTCAGCAAAAGCCTGCATTCGCCCCATAGGAGGCACACACATTTCCCCTTCATTTTTGGAGGGGGAAAAGTGCGTCCTATAGGGCGAAAAATACGGTACATGTGTGATGTATCAACAAAATTATCATATAACTCGAAAGTTATAGCATCTGGATTCTATATGCCCCCACATTTAACATTGAATGAACAGCAATCTATTGTTTCATCTCAGAATATACTTTCTCCTATTATGTCCTTTTAAACAGAGATCAAACTGGTCTGAACTTCCCAGGCCTTTTGAAATGTAAATTTCGGAATTGTTACGGAAGTGGAAGTAGCCTCTCAGTCATTTTCTGGTTGGCGAAAGAGACCGCTGACATCAGAAATGGAGCAGATTTCATGATTGTGCCAAATAAGTATCCATCTCAGAAAAGAGGTGGGCTTTTGCTAGTATCAAATTCCCATAACATTTTAAGCTTTTCCCCTCCTGGAAACATCAGGACAGGAGTCCAAAGATGCTCTCTTTAACAACCAGCCATGTTCAAGGAACTGCGCACTTGCTCTAAAATCCAAGACAGGTAACATGTAACTAGCAAAGTTAGACTGGTTTTAGTAAGAAAATTGTGTTTTGTTTGATTGTGCTTTTTGTGATGGATGGACCTTGGAGACCCAGAAACCAATCTGGGCTGGGTGGTGTGTCAACCAATCAGGAGGGAATGGAGAGTTAAAAGATAGAAGCTGGCAATTTAACTGTCAGATGGGGCTTGGATTGGGTTTAGAAAGGTCTTGGCTAGAGATTAGCCGAGTGTTTTGGGTTTTGCTAGGCATGGCAACCCAGATCATTTCCCTGAGTAGAAGGAAAATATCCTAGAAGACGGTTGGAAGTGTTTTACTGGCATAGTAGAACAAATAGCCATTCTAGGGCCAAGTCGAAGAAATAGCTATTTTAGGAGGAATCAGTTTAATTAGAAACAGATTTAAAGTGGAAGTTTTGAGTGAAATTATTATTTCTATAAAGTTGATTTGACTGAAACAAAAGTGTTGTGCCTAATTAGAGTAACCATTAAGCTTTAACCCTCATGGACTGTATATGAAATTTTAGTTTTGTTTCCAATGTCCCTCAACCATACTTTGATCCTCCGGTTGAGGGATAAGCGGCCACAGGATTTTCTTCCACATTACTAGGAGTCCTTCCTGCTGGGTATGTGTAAATGCTACCAAATCACGAGGAACTAGACATCTCAGTGTTACTGACAGGGAGTGTCAGTGTTTTAAAACACCTAAAACCTGGTCATGTTACCTCACTCCAATATTTTCTGAGGGAGCTTGCCAAAATTATTTATATTTTGAAAATTTGGCTTAGCTTTGTTTTATAGGCTACTGTTAACGGGCCTCTTTTTTTCTCACAACAACCAAATCCAACAGTGTAGCACACCAGCTCTCAGATAATGCTAGCAACTCTGTGCAATAAGATCTGCCTCCCATCTAAGTCCTTTCAGTTCTTTCTTTCTTTCTCACAGACATTCTGGGGGTTGGACTAGATGACCCTTGGGTCCCTTCCAACTCTTATGATTCTATGATTCTATGGTATTTTCCAGTACAGTGGTGCCTCGCAAGACGAAATTAATTCGTTCCGCGAGTTTTGTCGTCTTGCGATTTTTTTGTCTTGCGAAGCACGGTGTCGGGAAAGTTTTGGAAAAGCTTCAAAAATCACCAAAGTCTTTAAAAACCTCAAAAAAGGCTACCACACCACGTTCTATGAGTTGCTCCTCAAAGTCAAGTCGCAACTGTATTAACGGTGTTAAGAAAAAGGAAACAAACTTGCAAGACGTTTCCGTCTTGCGAAGCAAGCCCATAGGGAAAATCGTCTTGCGAAGCAGCTCAAAAAACAAAAAACCCTTTCGTCTAGCGAGTTTTTTGTCTTGCGAGGCATTCGTCTTGCGAGGTACCGCTGTAATTTAGGTCTCCATTTTCTCCTAAAGCTCTAAAAAAAATTCTATCTCCGTTGCAGAAAGTAACAAATTGGAAACAATGAACCATGAGAAAATCCACACAGCAGAGGAGCCATCTAAATATTTAGAGTGTGAAGAGATCCTGAGTCAGAATTCCCACGAAAGGACTGCCAGCAGGGAGAAACCATATCACTGTTTGGAATGTGGGAAGGGCTTCAAGTGGAAGAAAAGTCTCACTTCGCCATCAAATAATTCATACAGGGGAGAAGCCATTTGAATGCTTGGAATGTGGTAAGAGCTTCAGCTGGAAGGAAAGTCTCACTTCCCATCAAAGAATCCATACAGGAGAGAAACCACATCAGTGCTTGGAATGTGGGAAGAGCTTTAATGCGAGCAGAAACTTGCGCCGCCATCAAAGAATTCACAGTGGGGAGAAACCATATCAGTGCTTGGAATGTGGGAAGAGCTTTACTAGAAGCACGAGCTTCCGTTGTCATCAAAGTATCCACAGTGGAGAAAAACCATATCAGTGCTTGGAATGCGGCAAAAGCTTTACGAGAAGCATATACTTCCATCACCATCAAACAGTGCACAGTGGGGAGAAACCGTATCAATGCTTAGAATGTGGAAAGAGCTTCCGCTGCAAGAGAAGTCTCATTTCTCATCAACAAATTCACACAGGGGTGAAATCATAAAAGCTGTGCCTTCTGGTGTAACCAAGTTCTGGTTTTCTCTCCATCTTCCTCTCTTGCAAATTTACTGTCGGCACTTAACCATTACATTTGTACAAATACTAAACTGATAAGACAATCACTTTAAGCTTTCCAGTTCTAGTGGTAAGGGGCAAATGATGAGGAAGAGAGAGAAGGCCACCAGTTGCTTCCTGGTGGCCGTGGGAGATGTTTTGTTGGGGCAGAAGTGCAGAGGAAGTGAGTGGAACCATTCATTGTTGACAGTTGCCCTCCAGCCAGAAAACTTCAAGACCGGCATTGCTGAAGCAAACTGTGAGGGTGCCCTCCTTCAAGATTGTGTGTAGAGTACTTTCTTTTGTGGGTTGAATTGTCTGAGGGCACCTGGTGAGAGGAAGTAGCACAAGGGGGAGGTGTTTACCATTCCACCCGCACGGGACGCGGGTGGCGCTGTGGTCTAAACCACTGAGTGACTTGGGCTTGCCAATCAATCGTAAGGTCAGCCATTTGAATTGGTGCAACGGGATGAGCTCCCGTTGCCTTGTCCCAGCTCCTGCCAACCTAGCAGTTCAAAAGCATACCAGCGTGAGTGAATAAATAGGTACCACTGCGGCAGGAAGGTAAACAGCATTTCAGTGCGCCCTGGCTTCCATCATGGTGTTTTCGTTGCTTCAGAAGTGGTTTAGTTCATGCTGGCCACATGACTCGGAAAGCTGTCTGTGGACAAACGCTGGCTCCCTCAGCCTGAAAACTGAGATGAGCGCCGCACCCTATAGTCAAATTCGACTGGACTTAACCGTCCTTTACCTTTACCTTACCTTTTACCATTCCACCAATTCTTTGGTGAGAGATAGCAACCTGCTATTTAAACACAGTGCATTCTTAGGAAATCGTTTGTTAGATGAGCATTCTCAGAACAAACCAACAATTTCATTTATTCCTATGGGGAAATTTCTAATTGTACTAATCCGTCATGTTTGGATAAGTGAATTTTCATGTAACAAGCGTTTGGATAGCAGGACCTATGTGTATTGTCAATGAATGTTTTCATAGCCTCCTTGATGTTTTTCCACTATCCTTTTGTTCAGAGGAAGGAGTAGCTGATGACATTAGTTACAGATTGAGTGTGAGATATTGGAGTGTTTGGATGATACATCTGTGGGTATGTGTGGATGTGTGAGCGGTGTGTGAACAGAGTGACATTGAATGAGCAGTACGTGTTATATGATCTTTGTAGTTGTAGGGTCGAATTTAGGTGTGATCTGTAGTACTTTGTGAATCAGGGGGCTGATTTGGAAGGCTGAAGACTCTAAAATATTCCCTGACTCTAATGTTTCCAAGTGTTTGTTCTTAAAGTTTGCAATGATTTTGTTTTTAAAGATCGTATTGTTTTATCCAGTGCTCTTTTTTTGGGAGAAAAGGTGCCGGCACTCACCATGAGGTTGTTACAGTAAGTGCCACACTTTTTAGCATTTGGAAAAAAGAAAGTTGCCAGTACCGTGTACCCCAGAAAAAAGCACTGGTTTTGCCACATTGCAGTTTTGTTTAACAGGACAGTATTATATTGTAGCTTCTCAGTTTCATTGCTACATGGTTTGTAATAGAAATTTAATAAATAATAATAATAGTTAGCCAGCTAGGGACTGTCTTAAGTTTAAAGCAGTATATAAATATATATAAATATATATAAGTATATAAGTATATAAGTATATATATTTATATAAGTATATATATTTATAAGTATATAAATATATATCTCAGCTATCTGCCAATCTCCCATTCCCACCACCCTTCTGAGTAATACCCCTCCCCACCTTCTCACTATATAGAAGGATCTGGCAACTTCTGTTTCAGTGTATCTGAAGAAGTGTGCATGCACACGAAAGCTCATACCAAGAACTAACTTAGTTGGTCTTTAAGATGCTACTGGAAGGAACTTTTTTATTTTATAAATATATAAAATGAAATAATACATAGAATAAATAAAGGTGTCTTGTTTTGGTTCAGAAGAGGCCCCTGCTGTCACTGTTGCTTCTCTGCTAGGACAAAAGTGTGGTTTCCACTAGTTCTCATTCTCTTCCTCCTCCACATTTGCAACAAAACAGTGGACATTTAAACATGACAGTTGTATAAATCCTTAGGGTGGCATTTAATTATATTTGTGCTCCTCGTCCTGCCTGCACCCATGCCATCCCCAGATCTGCTCTGAAGGGATGAGGGAGCCCCATAACAGAGTGGTGGAATCCTTGGAGAGTTTGACTATGACCTAGGGGACCAGGATTCACTCAGTCACAAAGCTCACTGGATGATCTTGGGCCAGTCATGGTCTCTCAGCCAAACCTACCTCCCAGGGTTGATGTGAGGATAGCATGTGGAGGCACTGGCACCATCTCCAGGGGCCCAGGCACCCACAAAAAAATTGCTGTGGGTACCCAGCCTCCACCCATCACCTCTGTGGCTGCTGTCGCCCACTGCCAACTCCCAAGAAGAACCTCATACACCACCATTGTTGTTGTTTAGTTGTGTCCGACTCTTCCTGACCCCATGGACCAGAGCACGCCAGGCACTCCTGGTCTTCCACTGCCTCCCGCAGTTTGGTCAAACTCATGCTGGTAGCTTCGAGAACACTGTCCAACCATCTCGTCCTCTGTTGTCCCCTTCTCCTTGTGCCCGCCATCTTTCCCAACATCAGGGTCTTTTCCAGACAGTCTTCTCTTCTCATGAGGTGGCCAAAGTATTGGAGCAAATATAAGAGGTGTGTGGGAGCAATCCCTTCCATTGCGCAAGGAGAAATCCTAGCACAAAAGAAACGTTCTTTATAGTGCTACCTTGAAAGCAACCTTATTGGCTCAGGGAAATGTCTTAGCTTGGTTCAGAGTGGCTATCTAGCCCAGGCCTCTCCCAGAACAGCCATTTATCATACCCTCCCCTACCCAAGCCCAACACTTGGAGCAAGAGTGTCCTTTAACTCAAACCACTAAACACTTTTGCTCTCAGCCTCCCTCCTGCCATGTTCCCTGTTTGCCTTGTGTCTGTCACCTTATAGGGTTCCTGGCTCTGGGCTTCCAAAACCTCAAGCAATCTCCTAACAACTGGTAAAGTAGGTAAAGGACTCTGCTGGCGCCATATAGAAAATTATATCTGTGATCAAGTTATTATATTATATTGTATTATAGTTATATTATATATATTATATTATATAATATTATATATATTATATTATATATAGTTATATTATATATTATATTATATATAGTTATATTATATATATTATATATTATATTATATATTATATATTATATTATATATTATATATAGTTATATTATATATATTATATTATATTATATATTATATTATATTATATTATATTATATTATATTATATTATATTATATTATATTATATTATATTATATTATATTATATTATATTATAAATTATATCTGTGATCAAGACCAAGTCTTGGTAGCTTGGCCAGACATGAGGACGTAGGAACAAGTTATTATTATAGTAAAAGCTGGTTATAACATGTTCTTCTGTGGTTTGTTATCAATAACACTTTGCGTTTCATAACATGTGCTTATAAGTCTTATTCTGAATCCTATTCCTATCCAATCTTGCCTACTCACCACTCAAACCAGCCACCTTTTCCCTTTCCCCTCAACCCAACTGTCTTTTTCTTCCCCACCCACCCACCTGTTCTAACTGTCACACGTCAACCTCAGCCAATCAGCACAGAACAAACCCCATCATTCCATCCCCTCTCTCCCTCCCCTCCCCCCTCCCTTATGTGTTTTAATAGAGAAACCCGTACAAGTCAGTTACAATGGCTAACGGCACAACATCTGCTGAAGTCCATGAGGGTACCACCTATTAAATACAGTGGTGCCTCAGAAGACGAAAAGAATCCGTTCTGTGATTCTCTTCGTCTAGCGGTTTTTTTCGTCTTGCGAAGCAAGCCCATTGACTGATTAGCGGATTAGCGCTATTAGCGGCTTATCTGCTGATCGGATCAGCTGATAAGCGGCTTAGCGGCTTAGAAAAAGGGGTGGAGGGGAAAAACCAGCAGGAACTCGCAAGACATTGTCGTCTTGCGAAGCAAGCCCATAGGAAATTCGTTTTGCGAAGCACCTCCAAAATGGAAAACTCTTTCGTCGAGTGAGTTTTCCGTCTTGCGAGGCATTTCGTCTTGCGGGGCACCACTGTACATGCAAGGTTGTTGCTTGAGTTGATTAAGTCTTCTTAAGTGTGCCACACCAGAGGCGAACAATTGAAATTGAAATACTTTATTGTCACTTGTACAACTTGTATACAGTGAGATTACAGGAGCACCCCCCACTCAGTTCTCTTAGTCTTATTTCCCCTCGTTTACTGACGCACACCCACCAAACCCAAAAGTCCGTTGCCCTGTTGTTCTCTTTTCATTCAGCAGCCTAACAGCCCACAGATAGAAGCTGTTCTTTACCCTGTTGGTGTGACTAATCATGCTTCTATATCTTTAGCCTGAGGGCAGGAGATCAAGAAAGTGCTGGCCAGGGTGTGAATCATCCCTGAGAATTTTCCTTACTCTCCTGTGGGAACGTTCTTCCGCTATTTCATCCAGCGGATTCACGGGACAGCCCATAATATCTTGTGCTGTATTCACCACCCTCTGTAGGCACTTCCTATCAGTTGATGTCAAACCAGCGTACCACACCGTGATGCAGTATGAAAGGACACTTTCTATTGTCGACCGGTAGCAGGAGATCATCAAATGTTGATTGACATTTGGGAGCAAATAAATTTCCAGACCTATGGGGAAAAAAAATATTCCCCTCCCTAAACCCTGGAAAGGCTTGTTGTAGCCCAGAGCTTTCCAAACTGTGTGTCATGACACATTGGTGTGTCAGCAGCAGTTTGTAGGTATGTCCTCCTCCTGGCTTTGGAAAGGGGTTAGTTTAACCTCTGGTTTGCTAGTAAAACAAGTACAGTATTATTATTATTATTATTATTATTATTATTATTATTATTATTTATATACCACCCTATATCTGAAGATCTCTGGGCGGTTCACAGAAAATATCACAACATATATAATCAGAATAAAAACAACAACCCACTAAAAACCCCAACATTACTGTTTGGCGAAATGATGGGTGTCTAAAACGTGTGTCACTAACTTGAAAAGTTTTGAAGCCTTGGCTCTAGCCAAAGATCTCTCTGGCAGGATGATATGTCACAATGGAGGGTGTGTCACCGTTACTTAGCAACCTTGGACATGGAACCTCTATAGACACATGCATTTATTATATTATAATGTAGAGAGAGAGAGAGCTTTCAATAGATTAAGCTGCATTATCTATTTCCATTTTCCTTTTAATATATATTAAAAAAAAATTCTAGGGAATGCAATTACCAAACTTGCCCCATTGTGCAATAGAACTTTGTCTGGGCACCCTCCTAAAATCTGCTATGGAGGTTTGGGGGGAGCCCCTATCATTTGGATAATTTACCGCAGCTCTTCTCCCCCGAGCCCCCACCCCGCCAAAAAAACTTAGCTTCCCCCCATCAAATATATTAAAAACCTTCCAGCCTTGTGGGGAAAGCTAAATGTGCGGCTCTGCTGGGGCAGTTATGTCAAGAGTGGGTGGTCTCGTCTGAATCTCTCCTGGCTGACTAGGCAGGTGTTTTCTCCATGTTAGTTAGAAGCCACAACTCAGCAACAAAGTTGTTGTTGTTGTTGTTGTTTAGTCGTTTAGTCATGTCTGCCTCTTCGTGACCCCCTGGACCAGAGCACGCCAGGCACCTCTGTCTTCCACTGCCTCCCGCAGTTTGGTCAGACTCATGTTTGTAGCTTCCAGAACGCTGTCTAACCATCTCATCCTCTGTCGTCCCCTTCTTCTTGCGCCCTCCATCTTTCCCAGCATCAGTGTCTTCTCCAGGGAGTCTTCTCTTCTCATGAGGTGGCCAAAGTCTTGGAGCCTCAGCTTCAGGATCTGTCCTTCCAGTGAGCACTCAGGGCTGATTTCCTTCAGAATGGATGCATTTGATCTTCTTGCAGTCCATGGGACTCTCAAGAGTCTTCTCCAGCACCATAATTCAAAAGCATCAATTCTTCGGCGATCAGCCTTCTTTATGGTCCAGCTCTCACTTCCATACATCACTACTGGGAAAACCATGGCTTTAACTATACCAGCAACAAAGTATTGTATAATAAATCAAATCCACCCGCCCCCCAAAGCTGCAAGGCCTGCAGGCAGGGGCAGCATTTATTTCAATTTTGTGATCGCAGTGGGGAAACGGTCCTCCCATTCACCGAACCACTTCTTATAGCCGTTTCGCTTTTTAACCTGAAGTGTCCCTGAAATGTTAAAAATACCCATCTGTGCAGTGTGTGCACGGTGCTCTTTTCCCTTTTGGCTCCTGCTTTGAGAGAGATGCAGGCAAAGAGAGGTGGTCCAGCTGTTTATCCTCCTTAGGGTTAAAATTAAGTGAACTAGATTCCCAGAGAGGAAGGGAATTTGGGGGAGAGAAGAAGTGGGCGAGGTCCTCCAGAGCAAAAAGCACCTCCTTCCAAAGTCACTTCCTGCCTCGATTCTCCTTTGAAGGGGCGTGGGTCTGTGGAAGTGGCCTTTGTTTCCCCAATTGATGCAACCCTGGCTCTTCCTGAAATCTGGTGAGTTTTGTCACCCCGCTCCATTTTGTGAATTTGATTGAAAGGGGGGGGGTGTCCCAGGGCCGCAGTGGATCAGCTGTTCCAGTGGGGATCAGGAGCCCCCTTTTGATACGTTGTGGGTGGGAGAGCATTTTAGGTGGGTCTGCAACGCTGAGTTGATCTCCATGGCAGGGTGTCTTCAACTGCAATCGAAATACAGCACAATTAATTCCCCCCCCACCCGCCCCATGCTCCCCCTTTTGATATTTTTAGGTGCCAGTTTTCCATTTTAATTTGGTTAGAATTAACACCTCCTCCCACACCCTTACGACTGACATGCACGTTCCCATTCAGAAATGCAACCCCCACGATGTAGAGGGGAACCTTTTCAGACTGAATACAAAGCACACACACACACACACCCCTGAAAACTACAGGCAGTCTTTTAACTGAAGAAATCTAAGCCAGTTTGTTGCATGGTAGAAAGGGTGTGTAAGGAAGGCTGTATTTCACACAGGTGCCCCTGCACTGTGAATCATACTACTACTACTAATAATAATAATAATAATTTATACCCCGCCCATCTGGCTGGGTTTCCCCAGCCACTCTGGGCGGCTTCCAACTGAATATTAAAAACAATAGAGCATCAGACATTAAAAACTTCCCTAAACAGGGCCGCCTTCAGTTGTCTTTTAAAAGTAAAATAGTTGTTTATTGCCTTGACATCTGCTGGGAGGGCGTTCCACAAGGCAGGTGCCACTACCGAGAAGGCCCTCTGCCTGGTTCCCTGTAACCTCACTTCTCGCAGCAAGGGAGCCACCAGAAGGCCCTCGGAGGTAGACCTCAGTGACTGGGCTGGACGATGGGGGTGGAAACGCTCCTTCAGGTATACAGGACAGAGGCTGTTTGGGGCTTTAAAGGTCAGCACCAACACTTTGAATTGTGCTCAGAAACATCCTGGGAGCCAATGTAGGTCTTTCAAGACCGGTGTTATGTGGTCTCTGCGGCCGCTCCCAGTCACCAGTCTAGCTGCCGCGTTCTGGATTAGTTGTAGTTTCCGGGTCACCTTCAAAGGTAGCCCCACGTAGAGTGCATTGCAGTAATCCAAGCGGGAGATAACCAGAGCATGCACCACTCTGGCAAGACAGTCTGCTGGCAGGTAGGGTCACAGCCTGCGTACCAGATGGAGCTGGTAAACAGCTGCCCTGGACACAGATTTGACCTGTGCCTCCATGGACAGCTGTGAGTCCAAAATGACTCCCAGGCTGCGCACCTGGTCCTTCAGGGGCACAGTTACCCCATTCAGGACCAGGGAATCCTCCACACCAGCCCGCCCCCTGTCCCCCAAAAACAGTACTTCTGTCTTGTCAAGATTCAACCTCAATCTGTTAGCCGCCATCCATCCTCCAACCGCCTCCAGGCACTCACACAGGACCTTCACCGCCTTCACTGGTTCTGATTTAAAGGAGAGGTAGAGCTGGGTGTCATCTGCATACTGATGAACACTCAACCCAAACCCCCTGAAGATCTCTATAATCCACAGATTCTGAGTTTCCATTGTAATTTTATTTTAAAGGAGAGTTAATTCCTAGCACATGTAGAAATATGAGGCAAAATGTACAATTTTAACTTCTTTCTCCTCCCCACCCCCCTCAGAATCTAGCCTTCTCCCACCTTTTGGTTTTCTACTTTGCCCCTCCCTTGAAAAATTCCTCTAGACCCCCCATCACCTGGAAACCCATCACAACGGAAACTAAAACAAAACAGATAAATGACACATTCCAAATCTGTTTGCACATTGATGGGGTGGCATCACTTTATCTATCACCCCATGAATCACACCTGCTGGGGGGGAAGCCGGGGCAGGCAAAAAGCATATTGAGGGTGAAAAATGACTTTAAAAGCCATAAATGAAAACCAGGCCCAGTTAAAGATCCATTGATATAATGGTGGAAGACAGCTTGATAAAGATGTGGTGTGTTTTTTCTGGCTGATGAGTTTGTGAAGGAGGACATGCATAGCTCCAGACATGTACAGTAGGTAAAAGGTAAAAGTAAAGGACCCCTGGATGGTTAAGCCCAGTCAAAGGCGACTATGGGGTTGCGGTGCTCATCTCGTTTTCAGGCCGAGGGAGCCAATGTTTGTCCACAGACATTCTGGGTCATGTAGCCAGCATGACTAAACCGCTTCTGGTGCAACGGAACACCGTGATGGAAGCCAGAGCACACAGAAACGCTGTTACCTTGCCGCTGCAGCAGTACCTATTTATCTACTTGCACTTGTGTGCTTTCAAACTGCTAGGTTGGCAGGAACTGGGACAGAGCAACGGGAGTTCACCCCATTGCTGGGATTCAAACTGCTGACCTTCTGATCGGCAAGCCCAAGAGGCTCAGTGGTTTAGACTACAGCACCACCCGTGTCCCTATGTACAGTACAGGATATTGCAATCCATGGCTGCCTCCACAGTTGAAGTTAGTAATCTTTTTGAATACTAGATACTGGAAACCACAGGAGGGGAGAGGGCTCTTGTACTCAGATCCTGGTTGCAGGTTTCTCACCGGCCTCTGGTGAGCTACTTTGAGAGCAGGATGCTGGACTGCATGGGTCATTGGCCTAATCCAGTATACTCTTCTTATGTCCTTTATTATGTTCTCAGGGAAATGTAACAGTGTAGTAATGCTATAATAAAACAATGTCTTGGCTTTGTAGGACTTGGTAGCGCTCCCATTTAGGACAGAGAGAAATTGGCAGAAGCCAAAAGAAGTCTCTCCGGAACTGTTAGAAGCTTCTGTGAAAGAAATATGGATAAGGAAGGCTCAGTTGCCGCTGAAGCAGGAAGAGGACATGATCCCATCAAGACTGGGAGCAGTGGGGGATTCTGGGAAGAAACAGTGCAGAAGATGCTGTGTAAAGAGGACAAGCTCAACTCAGATGTACAATGCCAGCGTTTCAGGCATTTCTGCTACCAGGAGGCTGCAGGGCCTCGAGAGGTTTGCAGCCGACTCCACCGTTTTTGCCATCAGTGGCTCAAGCCAGAGCAGCACACGAAAAATCAGATGCTTGACCTGGTCATCCTGGAGCAGTTCCTGGCTGTTCTTCCACCAGAGATGGAGAGCTGGGTGAAGGAGTGTGGAGCAGAGACCAGTTCCCAGGCGGTGGCCCTGGCTGAAGGTTTCCTCCTGAGCCTCGCAGAGGACAAGAAGCAGGAAGAGCAGCAGGTGAGAGCATTTAAACTAGATAGAACCAACATGAGGGTAGATATCCTGAGCATTTATCTCTTAAAATTGTCCAACTTTTCCAGGAAAGCATCCAAAGAAAGATAGCCAATGCCAGTATTTTATTTTATTTTATTTTTGCCTCTGCCACTCTTTTTCTAATCCTTCTGTCCATTTGATGTCTTCAATACTTGTTGCTGTTTCAGGTTAAGGATCTGCTTAGAGAAGTAAGCGCTCGTCTTCCTGAGGCAGAGAGGTCTCCACTGAATAGCAGACAGAGGCCACCGGGTAAGGATCACTGTTGTGTCTCCATTTGGTGTCCCTCTCTCCATCGTGAAATAATTATCTGGGCTCCTTGATCCTTTGAGAGAAGACACTTGTCTCCAGCCTTTCCCACAGCTCAAAAATGTGATTACTTACAACATTCCTCTAGTTAGTACATGGGGACCCGCACTTTGTTTTGCAGCCAAGAGCCCAAAGGGCGAGAGACGCTTTTTCACGCAACTGACATATAAAATGGGTAGAAACACTTAGCAGGTAGGATTTTTCCAAAGGCCCAAGTATAGTTAGACATACATGGCTGAATCTCTGTGTTGTGGTACCAGCTTCCCACTTACCTGTTGTTTCTCCCAGGTGACCAAACAATGCCAGTAAAACCTCAACAACCACTCCATATTCACAGTGGAAGGGAAGCAGCTTCTTTGACGCTGGATCAGGTAAGGGGACAGGTCAGTGAGGAAATGGGCTCCTCTGCTCAGTTCCCCGAATCTCTCCATCTCTTCATTTTAAAAAAAATCTGCCCTCAAGAAAGCTGGAAAGGCCACTCAAGGAAGGCTTAAATGCGGAGATAATGATTATGCAGAATAATGATTTCACAAAGCAATGGATGAGAGGAATAATAAATTAGTAATCATAGAACTGTAGAGTTGGAAGGGACCCCAAGGGACATCTAAATCCTGCCCACAGCCATCCCTGGGTAGGCTTGAACCACCAACCTTCTACAGTGGTACCTTGGTTCATGAACTTAATCCATTCTGCAAGTCCGTTCGACTCCCAAAACTATTCCAAAACCAAGGCACTGCTTCCGATTGGCTGCAGGAGATTCCTGCACTCAAGCGGAAGCTGCGTCGGACATTCAGCTTCCAAAAAACATTCACACTTCCGGGTTTACAGCGTTTGGGAGCCAATTTCTTCAGTGACTAAGCCATTTGAGAACCAAGGTACCTGTCAGGTTTAGCACTTCTCCCACACAAGACACAACACGCTGGCAGTTCGACTAGTTGAGATTTATTATCAACAACAGACTTTCAGCAATCCAAGCTTCCCACAACTCATACCTCACTGTCAGAATCAGTTGACTCGACTGGCTTCTGGCCCCTTCCAAGGCCAGATATACTCCAAGCCCACCCCCACTTCCTGCTGGTCTTCCTTTGTTCTAATCGCTTGCTCCGCCTCCTACTTCTTGGAGACCCAGGTGCAGCCAATTCCTCCTCCTCTGGAGTTGAATCCAACCACCTGCATCCTGCTCCTTCATCTCTGTGCTGCTGCAAAAACATACAGGCAGCAATCCAGTGCTAGAAGGGCTTATCTCACTTTCGTGGTGTGAATGAACCAAGTTCCTGTTTTCCTCTGCCTCTTCCTCCCCTTCTGCAGAGTCCTCTCTGCCGGCCATGTCTCTGACAGTACCACTGTAGCTACCAGCCAGACACGCTGACCCACTGGGGCACAATTTAACTTATGAAATGATACATTTTCACATATCCATGTATTCTTGTCATTCATTGGTTTGTGATTCCTTTATTAAAAGGTAAAGGTAAAGGGACCCCTGACCATTAGGTCCAGTCATGACCGACTCTGGGGTTGCGGAGCTCATCTTGCTTTATTGGCGGAGGGAGCCGGCGTACAGCTTCCGGGTCATGTGGCCAGCATGACTAAGCCACTTCTGACGAACCAGAGCAGCGCACGGAAACGCAATTTACCTTCCCGCTGGAGCAGTACCTATTTATCTACTTGCACTTTGACGTGCTTTCGAACTGCTAGGTTGGCAGAAGCAGGGACTGAGCAAAGGGAGCTCACCCCGTCACGGGGATTTGAATCACCAACCTTCTGATCGGCAAGTCCTAGGCCCTGTAGTTTAACCTTTATTATACATGTTTTATTGAGTGATTTTATTCCTTGTTTTGGTTTTCGGAGAATAATAACCAGCCACCTCACCTAAATAACATTTTAGGTGACGCTAGTATTATTTAGTAGCAGGAGCAGCAATTATTTATTTATGCATCATTCAATACTAGAATTGGCTTATAACCAGTATTAAAAAACAGTTGCACAAATACTGAAACAGAAATGTCCATCATTACAATAAACAATGAAGCAACCCCATTTAAATCTGAGGAGACATCCCATTGCTACCACCAAAGTGCCAGGTATCTCAGGTCCCTCAACCACACTTGTAAACATACACAAGTTTGTGTGCTTGTGTGTAGTGTTTTTCTGCTCACAGTGCTTTCAAACCTCCTAGTATTTGATAGGCTTGGATGTGAGGTGGACTCCGCCACTAAAGATGATCAGTTTAAACTAATTTATTAAGGGCATTTTATATTCAAAAGGGGGAACTGTAAGCTGTTGACCTCCAACTGATCATTCACTGACTGTCCAACTGATGGGAGCCTCCAGCCAATCAGATTTTAATTAGCCTGCTCCAAGCCCCACCTACTAAAATATAAGGCAGCCTCCCTCCCTCTCTGCCCATTGCTGTCACCTAGCAACCCCTACTAAACAGGCTTGTAATATTATAATTCTTTAAGGCAGGGCCGGATTAAGAGCTTTAGAAGCTCTAAGCCCTTAAAAGATTTTGGTCGTCCCCCCCATATGTATCTAAATCAAAATATAAACAATAGTAAACCATAAAACAATTTCTTGTTTTTTGAAATGAATCAAAACCTACAGTAAGATGGAAAATAATGTTTATTTTTGTATGCTTCCACTTTATTTATATTTGAGAGGAAAATTCCCTACTTTTTCTAATTGCAAAAATCATGGTAAATGCGACAATGGAAATTCCCCCCCCTTTCTTTCATGCCCTAAGGACGTGCTTATTTTGCTTAATGGTTAATCTAGCTCTGATTTGAGGTGCCATGGCAGTCACGGGTTATATCTTCTCCTAAAACATAGACATAGGTAAAATTTTATCCACAGTAGTAGTAGATAACTTTTGTGCTATCTTTGAGGAGGAGGAAATGTTTCTTTTTCCTTGCAGGGTCCTGTGACCTTTGAAGATGTGGCTGTGTATTTCACGGACGAAGAGTGGGCGCTGCTAGATTCCAACCAGAGAGCTCTGCATAACAAGGTCATGGAGGAGAACTGTGGGATCATGACCTCTCTCAGTAAGGCTCCTGTTGGGGCGTCATATCTATTTTGAAAACCAGAAGCTTGAACTGGGGTACATTATTGAGACCTGAGTGGGGGAGTTGGCTGAGCCACTTTTGATTCAGCTTTGCCCACCCAAATACTTGGTGTGGTATCAGCCCAGCCTGGAGGGGCAGGGAGGAGATGTTTCTGTAGTTCACAGGCGTTCATTTACTACCAAATCCCTCTCTCTTGGAGTGTGGGACTGGACGTAAGGTTACCAGATTTTTTTCAATGAATCCAGGGACACTTTTCAACTTCAATAGGAATGATAGGATTTTGTCAGGGAACTGATTTGTAAATCCGGGGACTGTCCCCGGGAAACAGGGATGTCTGGTAACCTTAGACTGGAGGCCCTTCATGTGGTGCTGGGTCAAAGAGATAGGCTAGAGATGTTGTTGTTCATCAGCCTCCCTGACCAAGCTGGCTGAGGTTGTTTCGGGTGTTGATGCTGGAGGATTCCGAACTGTGGATTTGGGTGACTTCAATATCCTTGCTGAGAATGCTTCAGGATCGGCTTGGGAGTTCATGGGCAACCACAGACCAGAGGTTCTCCATGCAAATTACATCCTCTGCCAGTGAATTATGGGGGCTATCCTTTTTATTTTTTATTCTATGACGTTTGTATCATTATGCATGTGCTTTCGTTCCATATACCTGCACAACAACCTTGTGACGCAGGCTAAGCTGAGAGAGAGAAAGAGAGTCTAATTCAGCCCATCAAATGAGCTCCATCCCTGAGATGGAATCAAAACCCGGGTCCTAATCAAACATTCTGTAGTACAGCAGATGTCAGCAACAGAGGCAGTAAGGTCTGCCTCTCATCTAAGTCCCTTCAGTTCTTCATCACAAATGTTTATTAGCATTGTTCAGTAATTTGAGTCTCCATTTCCTCCTAAGGCTCTAATGAGTGTCTGTCTTCTTTGCAGAAGGTGATGAACTGGAAATGAAGAATAAGGAAGACTACAACAAACTCCTCACAGTGAAGAAGCCATGTAAATATCTAGAGAGTGGAGGGAGCTTTGGCCAGAGTCTCCATCTTCACAGAGGGGAGAAACCATATAAGTGTTTGGAATGTGGAAGGAGTTTCACTTGGAAGAAAAGCCTCACCTCTCATCAAAGAATTCATGCGGGGGAGAAGCCACATCAGTGCTTGGAATGTGGAAAGAAGTTTTATACAAGCACAAGCTTTCATCGTCACAGAAGAATTCACAGTGGGGAGAAACCATTTCAGTGTTTGGAGTGTGGAAAGAGCTTTAACAGAAGCACAAACTTCTATCGTCACCGCGTTATTCACAGTGGGGAGAAACCATTTCAGTGTTTGGAGTGTGGAAAGAGCTTTGTTCGGAAGAGCGATATCACTTCCCATCAAAGAATTCACACCGGGGAGAAACCATATAAATGTTCGGAATGTGGAAAGAGCTTTATTCAGAACTCCCAGCTCACTTCCCATTTAAGAATTCATACAGGGGAGAAACCATATCAATGTCTAGAATGTGGAAAGAGCTTCAACAAAAGCACAAACTTCCATTCTCATCAAAAAATCCACAGCGGGGAGAAGCCCTATCAGTGCTTGGAATGTGGAAACACATTCCGCCAGAAGAAAAATCTCACTTCCCATCAAAGAATTCACAGTGGGGACAAACCATATCACTGCCTGGAATGTGGAAAGAGTTTCCGTCACAGCATTGGCCTTACTATACATCAGAGAAGCCACACAGGAGAGAAACCATATAAATGCTTGGAATGTGGAAAGAGCTTCTGCAATAGCTTAAGCTTTATTATACATCAGAGAAGCCACACAGGAGAGAAACCATATAAATGCTTGGAATGTGAAAAGAGCTTCAGTCAAAGCTCCAAACTCACTTCCCATCAAAGAATTCACACAGGGGAGAAACCATATAAGTGCTTGGAATGTGGGAAGAGCTTCCATCAGAAGTCAAATCTTACTTCCCATCAAAGGATTCATACTGGGGAGAAACCATATAAATGCTTAGAATGTGGGAAAGGCTTAAGCTGCAAGAAAAGCCTCACTTCCCATCAAAGAATCCATGTACAAGAGGAATCATAAAAGTACTTGCCTTCAAGTTTTTAATATGCAGTTGGATGCAGACTGTGTTGTTGGAAAAAGTTTTGTACAATTGGAAAGCTGACAATATGCTGTTTAAAAAATAGGGGAGGGGGATTAGAGACAATAGACATTTGTGTTTATTAAGCACTTAAATGACAGGCAACATCAGGGACAACATGTTCACAAATTATGTAAGTGTTGAAACAAATCACCCAAGACATGTTGCTATTTTCTCCAGATTGGCCAAGTTATTAATTTTATCTCATGTGTGCCCTCCCTCTCAGTCATTACTGAATGTGGATGTATCTATTGTAACACAAGTATATGTTGTAAAACATATTCTGATTATATTTACTGTTATTTACACTATGGAGGTAATGGAGGCTTGAATCTTCATAACATGGCTACTCAAAAACTGCAGTCGTTGAACCTAATAAGGAACTATAAAGCAGCATTTTTAGGTCACAAGGATCAAATTGCAGTGGAACTGCAAGAAAACGTCCTAGAAGATTTCCCAACATGTTTAATATTATCTATTATTGTTTTTCTGCAGTTCAACTTTTTGAAGCTGGGGTGTGTGTTATACTGAGAAGTGCTTTATATTCTGGCAAATGTGGTGATTAGTGCATTGATTATATTCCGTGTTACTGTATTGTATTGGTATTTTAATTTTGTACCAGTATTGTAGTAGTACAGAAACATGGCCTCAACAAAGTTCTTCATCAGTGGAAACAGTTTTTCCCTTTAATTTTGCTTTCTTGAAGGAGTGTTACATTCACCATTTCCCCAGATCTTTTTTCCACACACACATGAGAAACAGAAAAGGAATTTCAGCTGGGTATGAGAGGCGATCCGGTTAGTGAGCCAGACCAGTGAACTGCTGCTAATCTATTAATCCCTATTGGCCTTGCCTTACTAAACGCCGCCAGTCAGGCCTTTCCCAGCTGAGGCTGAAACCACATTCACCCAACAGTTTATTCCATTTTCCTGTTTCCCTAACTGTTAATTTCCACCGTATAGCCGAACATTCACATGATGTAAAATCAACTTCCGAAAATATAGTGCAATGTAATGTTCATTTCTGAGTGATTGGCAAACAGATTGTTTTTCCTGGAGCCAGTAACATGGAAATGATCACCACACTTGCCCTATATTCTGCTATATTCCTGAAAGTGGATTTTGTGACATGTGAAAGCTTAAATACAGTGCGGAAATTAACAGTATAAACTGTTGTGTGCATGCAGCCTGAGATTATCCAGAAATCCTCTGCAAAAGCTTCTTTTTTTGTAATCAGCAGAGAATACAAAATGCCATCTTGCGGATTGTCAGGGACTGGCAGGGCTCAGAGGCGTGTGATGGGGCCCAGGGGGTGACCCAGGAGAGGTGACCAACGATTTGTGGATTTGGTGGTGCCCACAAGGCAAGAGTCAAAGCAGGAAAAGGAGGAAGAGTCAGGGCAGTTCGAAACAGTGGTGGAAGACGAGGCTGCTCAATGACAAGACTGGTCAGTAGACTCCCCAGCTTCCATGCAGGAGAAGTCTCAGGTTGCAGGCACGTAATCCCTTGGGAGGGTATATATTTCTTCAGGTTCTACGTTTTTAAAGCCCCAAAGTAAAAGCCCAAACTAAACTTACTTCAGTTTCCCCTGAACTACAGAAATGCAGCTTGATTCTCCTCTCCAAATATTCTATTATTATTTTCACAAATGTATACAAGAAGCAGCTATCAATACTGGGTGGGTGGGATGGTTGAATATTAAAATGCAACTTAATTTTCATACATGTAGGCAGTTTATTAACCCACTGAACTCTCTTAAGCAAAAAAACAACAACAAAAAACCCAAAACCCTACATTTGCATAACTTTCCCCCCCTTAATTCAGGCACAATTTAATTGTTCAATGGAAAAGCACAGTAACTTCTCTGTGCGGCATTTGCTATCCAATATGCTTCCTCTACACATGGAGGTTCCTGTTGCACCCAAGAGCTATCTCACTGCAGTAAATCAGATCCATAGGGATTACAGTCATACCTCAGGTTACAGATGCTTCAGGTTGCGTTTTTTCGGGTTGCAGACCGCCGAAACTCGGAAGTACTGGAACGGGTTACTTCCAGGTTTCAGCGGTCGTGCATGCGCAGAAGCTCTAAAACGCATTTTGCGCATGCACAGAAACGCCGAATCGCAACCTGCGCGTGTGCAGATGCACCACTGAGCGTCCACTGTATTTTGCTTTGATTCCTGCACAGAAGGGAGTTGGAACTTAAGATGGCCCTTGGGGTCCCTTCCAGCATTGTAATTCTATATGGGGCGGCAACATCCTCTTCCCAAGTGACCAGCTTTTTCTTGGCGACCAACTGGAACTTGGATCCACTAGCTCTGCTCTGCAAATGTATTTTGGGGGAGGGATCCCCCTAAACCTTAGAAATTAATAAACGGTAGCATTTTGATAACTTGGAACACTGAAGTAGAGATTGCAGGCCAGTGGAACAATACAGGCTAAGCTTCCTTTCCAAGCCAGCACCTCACCTTGGATAGAGGCAAAAAGGTGTTGATGAACCAACTGAAAAGGAATTATTGGGCCTGGACAGGAGGTTGCCAAGGTGATGGGCTTCAATAATAATAATAATAATAATAATAATAATAATAATAATTTATTATTTATACCCCACCCACCTGGCTGGGTTTCCCCAGCCACGATGGGCGGCTTCCAACAAAATATTAAAATACAATAGTCTGTTAAACATTAAAAGCTTCCCTAAACAAGGCTGCCTCCACATGTCTTCTAAAAGTCTGGTAGTTGTTTTTCTCTTTGACAGTTGGTGGGAGGGCGTTCCACAGGGTGGGTGCCACTACTGAGAAGGCCCTCTGCCTGGTTCCCTGTAACTTGGCTATGTTATACCAGAGCTGCCTCACCCAAAGGCTTCCTTCATCATTATCATCATTACTTATCAGAACCAGAGGGGAAAGGAAAATAGTGTTTTGAGCAACGTGTGTTGGAAAAATGAAGAGGAGAGAAAAAGGTGGAGATCCATCTTTTGATAGGCTGGCTGAAGGCAGGCTGGGAGAGATGCCCTGGACTCCATTGCTGCACCTCTTAAGATGACCATGCTGTAAGATCTGGACTCCCTCCATCCAAACTCAGGTGTTAATATGTGAATACATCATATTTATTAATTTTGCAATGTATTTTATTATGCCCAGCTCCCCACCCTTAAAAAAAAAATCGCTTGGCAGCTCTTGAACCCACTTTCCTCCTTAAATAAGCTTCCTCTCTGCTCAGGGTTTGGCCACGTCAAAACCACACAGACTGGCATTGTGGGGATGAGGGGTGGGTGTCCTTTCAATGGGAATCTTCCCCAACTTTCCCATTAGAAGCACCACCCCCTTTTCTCCCTTTTCCAGGCTCTGTTTCTGTAACCGCCTGACTCCCCTTCACCCCACAGCACAACAGGGAGCTCACCCCATCTTAGAAGGGGGTGCCCCAAAAACTGCCTCTGCAGCAAAAGAAGTCCAGCCGCTTTCTCTCCCCAACAAGGCAGGACCCACGGCCAAGCATCTACCTCAGGATTCAGCAACCTTTTTCAGCCGTGGGCCAGTCCACCATCCCTCAGACCATGTGGTGGGCCAGACTATATTTTTTTGGGGGGGAATGAACAAATTCCTATGCCCCATAAATAACCCAGAGATGCATTTTAAATAAAAGGACACATTCTACTCAAGTAAAAACACGCTGATTCCCGGACCATCTGCTGGCTGGATTGAGAAGGCGATTGGGCCACATCCGGCCCACGGGCCTTAGGTTGCCTACTCCTGATCTTGCATTCTCTCTCAAGGAATCCTGCATTGCCTCCTCTGTGTGGACCTGAGGAAGCTGGCTGGGGAAGCTCAACAGTTGTGTTGCTTTCTCCACCCCGATCATCATAATCACCAACTTCATCTTAACAACAGCAACAACAATTTTATTGTTCGTATCTCGCCCATCTGACTGGGTTGCCCCAGACACTCTGGGCGGCTTCCAGCATATACAATATAAAGGTAAAGGTACCCCTGCCCGTACGGGCCAGTCTTGACAGACTCTAGGGTTGTGCGCCCATCTCACTCTATAGGCCGGGGGCCAGCGCTGTCCGAAGACACTTCCGGGTCACGTGACCAGCGTGACAAGCTGCATCTGGCGAGCCAGCGCAGCACACGGAACGCCGTTTACCTTCCCGCCAGTAAGCGGTCCCTATTTATCTACTTGCACCCGGGAGTGCTTTCGAACTGCTAGGTTGGCAGGCGCTGGGACCGAGCAGCGGGAGCGCACCCCACCGCGGGGATTCGAACCGCCGACCTTTCGATCGGCAAGCCCTAGGCGCTGAGGCTTTTACCCACAGCGCCACCCGCGTCCCTATATACAATATATATATACATAATAAAACATTAAACATGAAAAGATGTACATAATTGCAAATGTAATAAAAGAAGTCGTTATGGTTAAATAAAGGACATCTAAAGGCACAAAACAAAACTGAACAATTTCCACGTTAGATCTAAAAAGATACAAACAATTATTATAAATAACAGCAACAAAACAAAACAAAACAATACCCCAGCTCACACCTCACTTTTTCCACCACGCCAAAACCTTTATTCTTTATGTACTTATTGTGTTGTGGAGGGTTGGACAAGGACATGGGAGGAAAGGGTTCAAATCCTTATTCAGCCGCAAAGCTCACTGGGTGACCTTGGGCCAGTCACTGCCCAAACTTCACATTTTATATGAATACATTTGAATATAATCTGAAGGCGTTTCCAGTCTAGTACCTGAGGGTGCCCTTACACTGAGCATTTTTTTTGGTCTAGTCTTGGGAACGGACTGGCCATGTGAGAGCCAAAAAGCAAACCTTAATCCAAATAAGACTGAAGCACTGTTTATAGATAGCTCATGAGAAGTACATATACCACCTTGAGCTCCTTGGAGGAAAGGTGGAGTATATATTAAATATTTTTAAAGGCATTGAGCAATGATATACAGTGGTGCCTTGCAAGACGAAAAGAATCCGTTCCGCGATTCTCTTCGTCTAGCGGTTTTTTCGTCTTGCGAAGCAACCCTATTAGCGGCTTAGCACTATTAGCGGCTTAGCGGCTATTAAAGGCTTAGCGGCTTAGCTGCTAAAAGGCTATTAGCGGCTTAGTGGCTTAGAAAAAGGGGGGGGAAGCGGGGGGGAAATCGCAAGACTAGCAAGACGTTTTGTCTTGCGAAGCAAGCCCATAGGGAAAATCGTCTTGCGAAGCAACTCAAAAACGGAAAACCCTTTCGTCTAGCGGGTTTTCCGTCTTGCGAGGCATTTGTCTTGCGGGGCACCACTGTATTACATAATGACACAATTCTTTATTTACTTAGCTACCTAAATAATTTTACAGTGGTACCTCAGGCTACATATGCTTCAGGTTACAGACTCCGCTAACCCAGAAATATTACCTCGGGTTAAGAACTTTGCTTCAGGATGAGAACAGAAATCGTGCTCCGGCGGCGCAGCGGCAGCGGGAGGCCCCATTAGCTAAAGTGGTGCTTCAGGTTAAGAACGGTTTCAGGTTAAGAACTGATCTCTGGAACGAATTAAGTACTTAACCTGAGGTTCTACTGTACTATGTTTTTCAGCAATTGCAGTTTATATATTAGTTCACGTTTCTGTTTTGAAGGGGAAAATATTCTGCGACTAAAGGTTTGAGGCCTTGTGTTGTTATGATGCT